GGATGGGGTGCTCATCCGCGTCGGAGCCTGTCTGGAGGTTGGGCGGGAGGAAGGCTGGAAACTGCGGACTGAGTGGAGCCTTTCACTGGGATGAGGAGCGAAGTGAGGTGGGGAGTTCTGGGCACGAAGGGAGGGCCGTGGGTGCCGCGTCCACAGCAATCGCTCAATCGCTGAAGTCCAGCTGTGTAGAGGAAGGATGTGCACAGGGACGTGGCTCGTGGAGGGGCGGGGCGGGGGCTGCAGTGGGCGTCACAGGGAAGACACTGGGGCACGTTTAAATACCAGCGAGCAGCGTTCATGACCAAAGGATCAGATGCGACTTCAGGGCACAGCCGCGATAGAACTTCTGGAGTGAGGCTACTGAATAGGTAAAATGGAGCAGTTTGTAGGCATGTGGAAGGAAGGCTGTGGATTAGACAAGAACTATTTCCCCCATCGTATCAGGAGAAAAGATGGAGGGGATGGGACACAGAGACAGGTATGCAGGTTTGTTTTTTGTTTTGTTTTGTTTTGTTTTGTTTGAGACGTTTTTGCTATAGGGCGCGTGTACTCGCCAGATAGACAGAGAGACAGAACGCGAGAAATCACCCCCTGGGGGGATAGCCATGCCGCAGTCCCTTCTCCTCCATCCTCCTCTCGGGATCTTGGGCACGCACGCACACTTGTTTGGCGTGAGTTTAAGCCACCGGGTCCGGGACGCAAACTGCAGTCGACTACGCGGGAGTCCAGCGACATAACCATGACGCTAACTGCTGGTCCTGAGACAGGTATGCAGGTTTTCATGGCAGGAAGAAAAGGGATTTCTTGACGGATTTCTTCACTGAGGAACGCTAAAATGTTCTCCTTAGCTTAACTTTGCTGGTCATTTTTGCACGATGCCAGTGGTCCTAGTAATTATTGAAAAACAGTAGGAGTGACTACTTAAGTGATTTTTAAAGTGCTCGTGTCTGCTTTTGGGCATATGTACTTAAAATTGATGAAATCTATTTCTGTTCTTGATAAAAACTATAACACACAATTCACCTTGTAAGATACTAGCTTAGTTTTTTTTCAAATCTGAATTCATTGACCCAGATCTCTGCTCTTTGGGTAGTTCTTGTAGGATTCCAGGGAGTCATTTTGCAAATGACTCCTCCCAGGTAGTAGACAGCACCCTGGTGCTGGAAACACATAATGTACCTTTCAAAGGTGCCCAGCTGTACACCCGGGGGATAGTTTGGGTACGTGAAAGTAGAGGGCTCAAATTTACTTTTTCATTGAGTCATAAAATATGTGAGGCATGATGTATACATGCATATCCTCAGTGTGATGACACGTTATGGAAAACTTCTTTCTTTCAGCGCTAGAAAAAGAATGTCAGTGATTGTTCGCACTCCATCCGGGAAGTTACGACTTTACTGCAAAGGAGCTGTAAGTTTTTATGTTTGTCTATTACAGCTTTGATTTATGATGGTTTATAATATGTATATTAGACATTCTGCTGTGGAAATAGAGCACAGATGTTGGACACGAAGTTGCTGACATCCGCTGTTGTTGGTGTTTTAGAGTGATGGGGCTCAGCCTCTCCCAGTGAGGTGTGTGATTCCTTCTGGGTAAATTTAGTGTTTGAAAAAGTTTGGGCTGGGTTACTTTTGTAATTCAGTTTTTGATATATATTTGACAGCTTTTATAAGCTATGTTAGAAGACAACTAAATACAAAACATGCTTCTAAGTTTGTTTGTTTGCTTTTTGAGAGGTTTTTGCTATAGGGCACATGCGCTCGCCAGACAGAGAGAGACAGAGAGACAGAAAGCGAGAAATCACCCCCCAGGGGGGATGGCCATGCCACAATCCCTTCTCCTCCATTCTCCTCTCGGGATCTTGGGCATGCACACACACGCACCTGGCATGAGTTTAAGCCACCGGGTCCGGGACTCGAACCGCGGTCGACTACGTGGGAGTCCAGCGACATAGCCATTATGCTAAGTGCTGGTCCCAACTTCTAAGTTATTTTATAACGTAGTGATTCCCTGCAGTTTGAATCTAATACTTTAAAGATCATGGAAGTGAAGTAAAAATGAGATCATAATTAGTGCTATAATATCATGTGGTAATTATATTTGTCTTGCATTGTCTTCTTTGCTTTTTTTTTTTTTAGTTTTAGTCATAGGGAGCATGCACTCACCTGAGAGAAACAGAGAGAGACAAAGAGAGGAAAAGTGAGGAATCACCCTCTAGGGGGGATGGCCACACCACAATCCCTTGTCTTTGGCCATACTGCAGTCCCTTCTCCTCCATTCTCCTTTCGGGATTTTGGGGATGCACATGCACATGTCTGGAGTTATTTTTAGCCCCTAGGTCCAGGACTTGAACCGTGGTTGGCTATGTGAGAGTCCAGCACCTTAACTACCAAGCCACCTGCTGGTCCCACATTATTTTCATTTTAATGGAATTTCCAACTGGTCAGCTTTGGTATACTTGCAGGTAATATTGACAGAAATAGTAATACATCATTCTGAGTTTCCTTGGTTAAAATATGTTTATATTCATGGAAAAACAAGAACTATATTGGGTTGTCAGATATGTCATGAGATTGGGACCAGTAGATGTATAATGGTTACATTGCTGGACTCCCATGTAGTCATCCACAGTTCGAGTCCTGGGCCTGGAGGCTTAAAACACACGCTGGGTGCATGTATGTGCATGCCCAACATCCTGAGAGGAGAATGGAGGAGAAGGGACTGCTGCATGGCTATCCCCCTGGGGGGTGATTTCTCATTTTCTGTCTCTCTGGAGAGCCCATGTGTCATTCCCAGCGCCCCAGTACTTACCAGCCCCTTAGTTGTTACTCAGATCAGTTCTTTTTTCTGAATTCCCGTTTCTAGGTACCTGGTTTTATTCACCTCCCAACTGGGAACTTCCCAGTTTTAAATAGAATCAGCAACTTTCTTTATCACATGGAAATTAAAAAACTTAAGAACCCCAAGCCTGTTTTTCAATTCTTCCTGAGAATGTGAAATACCTTGAGTTTTAAAGCATTGAAATGGAGTCTTTGAATACCTTGGGGGTGTTTTTGTTTTTTGTTCTTTAATTGCCAGAGAAAGTATTCTCTAGTCCAGGAGAGGAAGAGAAAGCACCCCAGAGTAGGATGTGTTCCCACCACAATCCTTTCCCTCCCATTCCTCCTTCCTGGCAGGATTTTGGTGCACACACACCCAGTGAGTCAGGTTGCCTGGCTGGAGACTTGAACCACAGCCCCATGTGGGATCCCTCTTCCTGTACCCAGTGCTTAACTCCTGCACTGTGGGGCCGGCCCAGAGGCCTTGGCTTAAAGCATTTAGGTGAAATTATTCCATGATGTCATTTGGATTTAATTTTAGAACTCTTTGTATTCTCATCAGTTCAAACACCTCACATACAGACCTGCCAGTTGAGGCCATTGACAGCAGAAGAGGATCTGAACCCAGACAGTTGCAGAGAAGACTGAGAAGAGAAATCGTTATTAACTAGTCATTAATTGCATGTGCGTGACGAAGGAAAAGATACCCAGAATTATTATCAGATTTCATGCGGCTGCCTGAGTAGACTCAGTGATACCTCTTGCCAAGACAGAAAGTTGGGAGTGCCTTTGGGCCACAGGGCAGAGATATCTGGATTTCACAAGAGGAGAAATCCAAGATGGAGACACAGATTTAGTAGTTAACAATATACCAGAAACTAAAACCCAGGGGCTTAATGAGATCTTGTAAAAGACTACACGTCAGGAGAGGAGGGCTAGCAAATTAAAAGTGAAGAGGGCAGGAAAAGAGATGGAAAATGGAGGGGAGTCTGGAAAGCCCGTCGATTCCTGGGTAGGGTGAGTTAGCCACAGTGACGAGGTCAGCGGAAAACTTAAGTTGTGGAAAGTGATCGATAATGCTCTAATAGAGAGAGCATGGGTGTTCACACTCTGATGTAGCCCCTCTATTTCTAAATTATAGCGATGGTGGCTATAGTACTATAACAAGAAAACAGAAAAAGGAAACTAGGCTCAAAACAAGATAAATACCTTTGTCGACAAAACATTAACAAAACGTCAAAGTGGCTCATTGAATGGAAGTCTTGATCTGGGTGGGGTGGGAATCCTGGGCCCTGGGCTTGGTTGCAATCAGGGAGCAGTGGCTGGAGTTCGGCATCTGTGGAACAGTGGAGGCAAATGACGCCTTCTGCGAAGTGCAGAGGGGCACCAGCCTCAGGCAGTCATGAGAAGGGGCTGAGGAAAGCTCATGCCAGCCTCCGCCAGGGATGACGTAAAGCCATTAGAATGGCAGACATGCAGACAGAGCAGGAGCAAAACTCAGAGACACACAAGGAAACCCCAGGCCAAGGGAGGTCATGGCAACATAATGAGCTGGAACGTGGATTCACTCTGGGCTAAATCACTGTGCAGACTGGCCTGAAAAAGGGTATGCAGAGCTCAGCATGATAAAGAAATCCCAACTACTCCTTTTAGGGTTCTTCCCTTCCCCCCCCCATAGGGCACACGTGCTTCCTGGAGAGGGAGAGAGAGAGAGAGAAAGTAAGTGAGAAAGCATCCCCCTCCCCAGGGCCACACCACAATCCCTTCTCAGTTCTTCTCTCAGGATTTTGGGTATGCACACACACACACACACACACACACACACACATACACGCACACACCCAGGTGTTTTTCAAGCTATCGGATCTGGGGCTGGAATCACAGCCAGTCACGTAGGATCCAGCCACCTACACCACCATACCACTGACTGCCTGAAATACTACTTTTTTTAAAGAATTTATTTAACTTTATTTATTTATTTATTTATGTATTTATTTATTTTCTTGGAGAGGTTTTTGCTATAGGGCACGTGTGCTCGCCAGACAGAGAGATAGAAAGCAAGAAATCACCCCCCAGGGGGGATGGCCATGCCGCAATCCCTTCTCCTCCATTTTCCTCTTGGGATCTTGGGCACCCATGCACATACACACTCGGCGTGAGCTTAAGCCACTGGGTCCGGGACTCCAACCATGGTCGACTACGTGGGAGTCCAGCAACATAGCCATTACGCCAACTGCTGGTCCCTATTTATTTATTTTTAATTTGACCAGAGAGGGACAGAGAGTGAGGAAAAAGTGAGAACGCTGCCAGGTCCAGGACTCAAATTATGGAGGACTCCATGTGGGAGTCCATTGCCCTTAACCACCACGCCACCTGCTGACCCACTGAAATACTATTTTTGTTTTAAAAAATAATAAAATTAGGAGGAAAAGTAGGGGTACATATAGGCAATTTTGAAATAATGCCTTTTTTGTTTTTTTAAATCAGTAAATGGCGTAAACTCAAGATTATGCACAGTGGAGGGGATGAGAAGGGTTCCTGAACTGAAAGGTGGTACCAAGGGGCCCATCTAGAATACAGCACAGAGAACGGTGCCATGTGTGCACGTAAATCCGTGTCTAAACCTCAGATTTCTCCCCTTGGGACACGCTTCCCCAGCTTGTGTGTGTATTTTCTACAGTGGAAATAACTTGCTTTGTTCATTTTTAAATAGAAAACAAGGAAAAGTACATGCTACACGACTTCAATCTGTAATAGTAGCCAACTTAGGAAGGGACATGCATAATAAGTGAAAGTTTAATTTACTCATGAAAACAAGAACCCTACTCCAAAGCACCTACAGCAGAGGAGAAATTAGAAACCTGACAAATGTAGTTAACACGGCCAGCCACGGTGGGGGCAGCTGTAACGTAACACAGCACTCTGCATGCTGACGGCCGTGTGGGAAGGTCCTGGGTTCAAATCCTGAGGTCTCCGAGAGCATGCCAAACATGTCACTGTGTCCCTGTGGTCTTCGCCGATCAATCCTGGAATGAAGACCCTCCTGGGGGTGCTTATCTGGTTTTTCTTTCTTTTCTTTTTTTAATTTTTGCCTAGGTAACATACCTACCCTTGCCAGAGAGAGACAGTGAGAGGGAAAGTGAGAACTCACCACTCAGGGGGGATGACCATGCCGCATCCCTTCTCCATTCTCCCTTCTCCATTCGTCTTGGACCTGGTGGCTTGAAACTCAGGCCGGGCGCGTGTGCGTGCGTGCCCAAGATCCCTAGAGGAGAATGGAGGAGAAGGGATTGCGGCGTGGCCATCCCCCCTGGGGGTGATTTCTCGCTTTCTGTCTCTCTGTCTCTCTCTGTCTTTCTAGCAAGCGCACGCACCCTAGAGCAAAAACCTCTAAAAAAAAAAAAAAAAAAAAAGATATGTATAAAACTGAAAATAAAAAAGAAGTTCATGTTTTAGGGACCTTCAAGCAATTGAAAATTTCAAATTAGATGTCCCTTCAATGAATTGCTGTGCTGTATACAAAAAGAAACTGCCTCTGAAATTCATTATTTTTAACAGTTCCCTGCCATGTCAGAGGCAAAGTATAGAGCCAGAGCATTCTGAATGGCACATGTGAACACAGGAAGGTTTGTACTAAAATACAAGTGGGCTCTGGTCTTTGGCAAATGTCCCTGTCAAAAAGGGGGCTCAGAGTTCACACAGCAGGTAGCCTTACTTCTTATTGAACCTGACAGTGAGATCAGATTGCTTTATGGCAGCTGACTAATTTATAGCAAGATTGTCTGGATCATGTTGGGGTAAGTTGCAGCACTTCAATAGGCAATTATACGAAGCCTCGTTTGTTCCCACTGCCGCCATCTTGCCATCTTAACTGTCAACTCTTGGGTTTCATTATAGTCCTTTATTTGCAAATGCTGCATTATGTGGTGTTCAGTGGTGTTCAGACAGGTGGCTTTTCATGATGACTCAGAATGACATCAAAAGTTATCAAGGCAGCAGGTGGCTGGGTGGTTAAGGCTCTGAATTCCCACATGACCAACCTTGGTTCGAATCCCGGACCTGGTGACTTGAAAACCATGCCAGGCATGTGTGCATGAATGAACAAACTCCCAAGAAGAGAATGGAGGAGAAGGGATTGCAGCATGGCTATCCTCCCTGGGGAGTGATTTCTCACTTCCCTGCTCTGTCTCTCTGCATCTCTTCCGCAAGCACACGCACCATGATGGCAAAAACCTATTTAAAAAAAGTTTTATTCATCTTATACATTTTGAATGCCTACCATGTGCAAGGCTCTTTAGGGAAGGGCAGTGTTTCAACTTCACTATAAAGATGAATAGGAAAACAACTTTTTGAATGAATGTTCACTGAAGATGAATTATGAACCCTGAATTTGACCTTTGAAGGCTGCCTAGACTCTTTAACTAGCGGCTCTGTTGGAACATGAGGTAACTGAATCCATGCAAGGTTGTCCATCAATACTAATTCAGCTTTCTCAGTCGATCCTGGACACACACATGCTTGAGTTCCTGTGAAGAAGCTTTCTCTGGTTCCTAAAAATGTGCCAGATACCTGCTGTGGCCCTGTGCACAGGGAGAGTTATGCCGGCTGAGAAAATGTCTGTATATCTCTATTTTTCACACACAAGCATAGCCAACGGTAACTGACATTTAAAAACATTCCATTCTCTCAATGGCCTCCATGCTGTGAAGAAGGTAGAAAATTAGTATCTTCAACTCCAAGCTTTGAATTGAATCTTCTGGACCTGATTTCTCCTCATTTTGTTTTCACAGTTTTCATTTTTAAAAAGACTATCGTAGTGTTAACATGGCCTATACTCCTATCATGGAAACTGTCGTGTCCTTCTGAAAAAAGAGTTCATAAGGTCTACCTTTCCTTTTCAGGAAGGAGCCATGAGGGGGAATGATCATCTCCTTTTGCCTTTCCCCCCGCCCCTATTCCACCACTGAAAAAGGAAAAGAAATTCATAATTGGGGCCTGGAATATCCCATCTGTTCTGAGGTCACTAAGTTCTGTTTCTCTCAAGGGTTCTAAATCATATTCCATTAGTCTGCTTTCCGATCTCAGGCCTGAGACTAGAGACTCCAAAATGGGTAATACCACTGAGAAAATAATTGCAGGTAAATGATTTATTTTTTCCTGGTCTAATAAAACCGTGAAGGCTGCATACTAAAATTCTTAGAGCATTAAACCAGCGTCAGAGACTAACCAAAGGAATAATAGCCAGTGTCTAAAGGAGCAGACGCTAGAGAAACATAAAGGGTGTCTGAAGTTAACGCTGGAAAGGACTTTAAAGATAACCTGGCAGTTTAATTTTACAGAGTGAAACTAAAGCTACACTGTCAGGATCATTCAGCCACCTACGGCAATTGCTCCCGGGTCCACCTCGCGGTGCCCACGGACCTCACGGGTGGGGCTAGTACTGTACTTTTGAGGTTCATTCTCCTGTGAGCACTGGCCCCACAAAGATGCTCTAACTCTAGAAGGTTCTGTGGCCAAATAGGGCAGGCACGTGCCATAGAACCCCTTACATACACATTGGGCACACTGGTGTTTATTGGCCAAAGAATTAACACAAGGCAAACTAGCTTTGGTCAACCTAGCATTTCCAGCTTCCATGGGTGTGGACTGACTTCATTTTTTTCCTTTTTTTTTTGAGAGGTTTTTGCTATAAGGTATGTGCGCTAGCCAGAGAGAAAGAAACAGAGACAGAAAGCAAGAAATCACCCCCCAGGGGGATGGCCACACCGCAATCCCTTCTCCTCCGTTCTCCTCTCGGGATCCTGGGCACGCATGCACATGTGCCTGGCATGAGTTTAAGCCACTGGGTCAGGGACTTGAACCGTGGTCGACTACATGGGAGTCCAGTGACATAACCATTACGCTATCTGCTGGTCCCAGGTGTGGACTGACTTCTTGACAGCACCCATGAACACTTGCGTGTTCTTGTAGCCCGCCACAGGTAAGTGAGGTATTGAGAGGCTGTAAGATTTTGAACATCTTGGAGAAAGCAGAGATTCCTTCAGTAAGAAGGTGAAAATACAGGGCTAGAATCTTATTGTTTAATGTCATTAAGGGAAACAGTGCCCTTAGGTAAAAATATCTGATATTTTGAAACTAATGCTGGGGCCAGCCACGTGGTGTGGTTAAGCCCTTGTGCGTAGGGAGCTGGGTCCCACATGACCAACTATGGTTTGAGAACGGAGGAGAAGGGATTGCAGTGTGGCCATCCCCCCTGGGGGGTGATGTCTCACTTTCTGTCTCTCTGTCTGTCTCTGTCTGTCTGGCGAGCGCACACGCCCTATAGCGAAAACCTCTTAAAATAAATAAATAAAAATAAAAACGAATGATAAAAGTAGTTGTGTTTAGTTGCCAACATCAACTCTATTAAACTCAGACTCCTTAATTGTGTCATCCCTTCTTTTTGTTTTCCAGGACACTGTCATTTATGATCGACTGGCAGAGACTTCGAAATACAAAGAAATTACCCTTAAACATTTAGAACAGTTTGCTACAGAAGGTTAGTGTCATAGAGCATGGCTGAAAGACAGGAAATCTTATACTTCTGATATCTCACAGGATCACTGTTAGTTTTACTTAGAGATTCCGAAACTAAGATATTTATTCCTGTTGATAATTTAGATTTTACGCCATGCTGTTCTCATCCAGTGTTTTTTTTTTCTTATGTTCTTAAAACTATCAATTAAAATTAGTAAAGATTTTGTTTCCGCATTTTGGGTGGTACAGCCTATAAATCTGTATAGAATTTTAACTGTTTACAGTTTGAACACTTTACCTTATATCTCAAACAGTTCAGTAGGGAAGCAAAACAGGAGGCGAAGAACTAAGGTATTGTCTTCTGAATAGAAACAAGAAGAAATAAATAAATCTATACAGCTATTCAAATAGTTCTTCAATTTATTTACAACCTAAGACTTTTTGTGAAGCCCCTGCCTCTTGCCAGGCTCTGTGTGAGGCCTGAGAGCCATGGTAAACAACTTGGCCTTCTCTCCCTGTCCATCCTGAAATATATGAGTGTGAGGCAGAATAACAGGACTTTGTCTAGGGAGATGATCTATTGTAGATGAGATGAAAAGAAGTGAAAGCTGTAAAACACTAGGGTTGGTTCCTACAAGGATCTGTCGTCTTATCTTTCACCTTGACCACGGTGGTCATGATTGGATCTAAACCTCCCACCTCCGTTCTCATCCCTGTGTGTTTTAAGCTGGACATGTTGCCAGCGTCTCCAAACCTGACCTTCGATCAGATCCTTTTCCCAGGCTGAGAAAAGATAGGAATGTTCTTCAGCACACCAGGCAAAACCAGAAATACTAGGCTTTGAAATGGAAAGACACAAAGAGGCTTCCCCACTTCTCCTCTGACGTACAAGAGCTTGGGAGTGCCCATGTGTATGGCATCCAGACACCTCACAGCCCAGCTCAGAGGGGCCTGGGAAGTGCAGCCTACCTGGGGTATGGAAAGGGTCTCTCTCTGAGGAAGACAGGGGCCATCTTTCTCCTCTCTGGTCATGATGTTGAAGATATTCTGGCTCTTCTCTTTGAACCAAACCCGACCTCTGCCCCATTCCCTCTGGCCCTGCTTCAGGGCTACCCTGGAGTAAGCTTCCTCTCCACATTTTCAAAAGAGAAAAAACGTGTCCCAGTATGGCCCCCAAAGGTGTAAGTTTCATTCGGTGACAGGTAATAGCCAGCCCTGAGCATCTCTGGGAGGGTGGATCCCTCTTCTTCCTTCTGACACATTTGCCCTGTAGTCACTCGTGTGACTTGAGCTTACCAGGCCTAGCATTTGGGCCTAGTCGTGCTAAGAGTTACATGACCTGTGAGAGCATTGTTTTTCTCGAACCTTCATGACTGCTTCTTCGCATGGCTGACAAGTGCTTTTGCCTCTCCTGTCTTCTAATTCATCCATTATTTTTTTTCCAGCTGAGGACAAAGAGAATTATGAAGTTGACAGGCACTAAGCACTGGGGCTAGCTAGCTAGTGATTGATTGATTGATTGGTTGGTTGGTTGTCCCTGTTCTCTCAACTAAGACACATTTTTCAACTGCAAACTTAAAACAGTGATAAACACAGTAATACATCCCAGTAAGAGGAAGGTGGCTTCCCCAGTAGACCTCATTGGGGTCTCTTTTTTCTCTTCCTTCATAAACATCTATGAAGCCACTGTTAGGAGTCAGCCACTCTGCCTGGTCATGGAGTGAGTTGCAGATTTGAAGAGCTCCAGGATCCTGCCCAATTTAAGCTTTCATTTTATAAGAAGATCTACGAGAAAACCCTGAAAGATTGTCTTTCACACTGTAGGAGTGCTTGGGATCTGGGTAAGGGGAGGATGCTTCTGAGAGAAGATCGTAAGAGCTAAGACTCGAAGTAGATGCAGCACGAGCAGTAGAAGGGCATTAGGGGAGGTGGACTGAAGAAAAAGTGACCAGCACACACAGTGGCCCTGGCATGTAGGGAGTGAACGACTGAAACGACATTGAAGGCAGTTGATGAAACGTATTAAGTCATCCTTTGCGATTTAGGTGTCTTCCTGGGTCCTGGGAAACAATTAGAAGATTTCAAGGAATGGGTAAGAGTTTAGAAAGTCATGCTAGGGCCAGCAGGTAGCATAGGGATTACAGCACCAGATCCTATATGGCTACCTCCACAGTTCGAGTCCTGGACCAGGTGGCTTGAACATCACAGCAGGCATGTGTGCAGGCATGCTCAAAATCATGGCAGGAGACTGGAGGAGAAGGCGTGCTGTGGCCATCCCCTCGGGGAGGTGATTTCTCACTTTACCCCTCTCCCTCCCTATCTCTTTCTCTGTCTCTGTCTGTTTCAGGCGAGCACACATGCCCTATAGCAAAAACAAAAACATTTTCCACTCTGGTTTTATCTTAATTGAGTTGAACCTCAATCTGTTGTTCAAATCGAATCAGTCTCCTCAAAATGAGACTTTGTTGACTAACAGTGGAAACCTCGGGCTTCTGGATAAAATCTTTGGGGACGTGTGCTACCTTTTCAGGGCTAAGAACTCTGTGTTTCGCCGTGGCGGAGATTTCCGAGAGCGACTTCGAGGAGTGGCGAATCGTCTACCAGCGAGCGTCCACGTCCGTGCAGAACAGGCTGCTCAAGCTCGAAGAGAGTTACGAGTTAATTGAAAAGGTAAGTGGACAACTTTGTTGCTGGTAAAGAAAGTTTGGTTTCCTTGGGAACCAGCAGTTAGCGTAATGGCTATGTCGCTGGACTCCCACGTAGTCGACCGCGGTTCACGTCCCGGACCCGTTGGCTTAGAACTCACGCCGGGCGCGTGTGCGTGTGTGCCTAAGATCCCGAGAGGAGAATGGAGGAGAAGGGATTGCAGTGTGGCCATCACCTCTGGGGGGTGATTTCTCGCTGTCTGTCTCTATGCCTCTCTCTGTCTGTCTGGCAAGCGCACACGCCCTATAGCAAAAACCTCTCCAAAAAAAAAGAAAGTTTGGTTTCCAGAAAGCGTTGACCTAGAGTCAAGGATGCAATAGGGCCAAAAATCAGAACATCTTGACACATGACTTCCTGCCGGGTCTCTTCCAGTTGTCTGAGCACCTGCAGATCCAAATAAGGGTTCAACTCTTACTGACAGCCTTTGAGATTAGCGATTACTGGTGTAGATCTTTGCTCTTTTCATAGAAAGATCAGGATTTGGCCAGTCGAGCAAGCTCCTTCCAGTCATTTCTCATACTCTGCATCTCTGAGGATATGAGTGTGCCACATATGTACGCACACACGCACACACACACACTCATTACCTGCACAGACGGATCTCGTTAGAGCTAAGAAATGGGCATGATCTGTAATATAAAATAATTACACAGCTTTGGGAGCCCGTGGCTAAAATAAATGATGTCTACATGAATGACTCGGTGTTTCCCACTGGCTAGTCATTGTGCTAAATTTAAATACCTCTATCACTGCTGTCACAGCCAACTCTAAATATCCTTGTTTTATAGTTAAACCAAGGCCATTCAACCAGAGTGATGGACTCGCTATGACTGATGTTGTATAAGTAGCCAGAAACCCGGCTTCTTTATTTTTTTAATTATTTTTTCTTTTTTGGGAGAGGTTTTTTGCTATAGGGCATGTACGCTCACCAGAGAGACAGAAAGAGACAGAGAGATAGAAAGCGAGAAATCACCCCCAGGGGGGATGGCCACACCGCAATCCCTTGTCCATTCTCCTCTCGGGATCTTGGGCACGCACACACACAGTCCCGGCGTGAGTTTAAGCCACCAGGTCTGGGACTCAAACCGCGGTCGACTACATGGGAGTCCAGCAACATAGCCATTATGCCAGCTGCTGGTGCCATATTTCTTATATTTTATATGGGCAAGCTGTCTAGGTGTCTGTCTGTACCCAACACCCCACACTGAGCCAGGGGTGCTGTGTTTAACCTCAGCGGTGTGGCAGAGGTGGTTTTGCGTCATTTCTGACATCGGGGCCTAGATCTACGGGTTCTGTCTCGTGTGCACTCTCTCTCAGGCCCTCTGGGTCTGGGGAAGACAGCTGGCATGTAGGTAGAGGTCTATTTGTATATAGGCAGATGGAGGCCCAGAGAGCTCCCCCTTACGTTTCAACTTCTATTTTTATCCTACTCATCGCTAAAAAGAGGGTGACAGCATATATGGGGCCTTACAATGTGACACCTCCCTACCACACTGATCTTAGAAGTGTGCACACCGCAGGGGGTTGTTATCAACTGACTTGTCAAAATCTCTCTCTGTCTCTCTCTCTCTCTGTCTCTTTTTTTTTTGGGGGGGGGCGAACACTTTTATGTCTTTGGAGTATTATTTCATAAAACGATACCATGACCGTCACCTCTCCCAGTCTCTCCATAGTCACATATTATCCTAAAGCATTAATGGTATTAGTTTTTAAATATTTTTTATTTTTCTTAGTCTTTTAAGAATTTTTTTAAAAAGAAAAACCCTTTGTGGAAATGATTTCTTTTTTCTTTCCTGCCTCCCTGTCTGCACAGTCTGCATGAAATGCAGCCTTTACCCCCGTGCTAATGAGAGAGAATTAATATGCAGTACGTGACGATAAAAATATGTTTGAAAATGGATCATAAACATACCGAGTTGTTCGTTTCCAAGAGAAGCACAGCGTAGACGATTCTGGAGTGGAGTGTTTAAGGCACCTAAAATTGTTTACTCTGCACGTCCTTGAGTTGAGAGGTCTGATTTTCCAGGTGTAACAGTTTGCTTGTTTTTTCTTTACATATCTGTGAAGAGCCTTGTGCCTTCCAGCTTTGAACAAATAAATGTCCAACCTTTACCAGCAGATGGCGGTTGTGAGTTACAGTGAATTTAAATTGCCTGCAGAAATCATTAGAAGGAGTCTTTAAAAAGTTCATGGTAAATGAATATTATATTTTAAAATTTTTTTTGAATGGATTTCATGGCTTTTTTGTTTGTTTGTTTTTACCAAAATAAACTTGTACTTTAATCCCATTTTTCTGCCAACCTTTTGAATTTCCTTTTCCCCTTGATAACCACCTCGCATCTGTGGTGTTCCAAGGCAGGTTTTCATGACTCGGGGGCTTCACTGAGCCCGGTTTGGAAACAGGCTCATAACCACATCTAGGTGTGGACTTGTTAGAAAATGTTTTCCTCAAGAGATGAACAAGGCGTTGGTGAATATACGAGGGAACGTCCAAAGCTTGTGGAAGGTGGAATTACAGTATGCATTTATTTTAGTGCAAAACACTTTTTGATATCCCTACGTAGTTTTTCACCATACACATTTTCTGTGAACTTTCTGAAGACCTCTTCTGTCTTAATAACCTCTGCTGTTACAATTTAACTGATGATACAATATTTAATGATAAAATATGCCATTGATGCATGGTAGTGTTAAATTGAAGACTTAAAAATTTGAAAGATTCCAAGAGCTTTTCCTGAAAACAAGAGTATTTCTTTTTTTTTTTAGTATTTTTCTGTAGGGTGTGTGCTTGCCAGAAAGAGAGAGACAGAAAGCGAGAAATCACCCCCCGGGGGGGATGGCCACGCCACAATCCCTTCTCCTCCATTCTCCTCTCAGGATCTTGGGCACGCATGCACACACACCTGGCATGAGTTTAAGCCACCGGGTCCGGGACTCGAACCGTGGTCGGCTACATGGGAGTTCAGTGACATAGCCATTATGCTCAGTGACATAGCCATTACGCTAACTGCTGGTCCCTAGTGATTCATTTTTTACAACTTATTTAAAGCATTATTCTTTTCTGGGTCATTACTTCTGACTTAAGCTTAAAAAAAATAAATCCAAATCGTCTAAGAACATCCACAAAGCTACTGATGCGTGTCTTTGGTGTAACACTTAGTAACACAGAATCATATCTGCTTCAAGATTGTTCTGTCTGGGCCCCCACACCGAGGTTCATTTGGTCAACTCTGCAGGATATTTTAAAAAGTCATTCTAATGCTAAGAGATGTTTCAATGCATTCTCCCCCATCCTGTTAGTAAATACAAGCCAAAAGGTGATATTTGTTAGTCGGAAGGCCAGACTTGTTCAGGAAGGGAAAAGCTCACGTAGTTAAAATGTAGAAGTAATTATTAGAAGCACATCAGAGGGAATAGCAGTTAGCGTAATGGCTATGTCACTGGACTCCCATGGAGTCGATCACGGTTCGCGTCCTGGACCTGGTGGCTTAAAACTCATGCCAGGCGCGCGTGCGTGCCCAAGATCCCGAGAGGAGAATGGAGGAGAAGGGATTGCGGCATGGCTATCCCCCCTCGGGGGTGATTTCTCGCTTTCTGTCTCTCTGTGTCTCTCTATCTTTCTGGCGAGCACATGCGCCCTATAGCAAAAACCTCTCCCAAAAAAAAGCACATAAAATACTTAAGTTGTCTTGACCCACTTGAGAACTGCAGCTCCCTTTTGGGGTTGTTGGACGGTAACACCTCTAGTGTCTCTTCACCGCGACCCGAGAGGATTTACAGTTGTCTCATCCTTTCAGATGACAGACTTGACCTGCTTTATACCCTTAACCTCATTCTTTTCGAAGACTAACTTATCGGACTTAAAATTGTAGGTTGTGAACCACAGTAGTGTTGTGTGTGTCTTTAGAAATCGGCTTATTCTTGAAATGGAATTAATAACTCATTTCTATTTGCTCAAGAAGAATTCTAAGTAATAGCATAATTAGGAAGTTTTGTGTTTCAGTAACAGTGGTTTCTCCAAAATTTCTCACCTTCTTTGATCTGTCACTGTATTTTATTTCAACATATTTCTAAAACACAAAAAAGTTTTTTGGAAAGGTGTTTTTGTTTTTGTTTTGTTTTGTTTTGTTTTGTTTTGTTTTGTTTTTGCTATAGGGCGTGTGCGCTTGCCAGACAGACAGAGAGAGACAGAGGGACAGAAAGCAAGAAATCACCCCCCAGGGGGGATGACCACACTGCAATCCCTTCTCCTCCATTCTCCTCTCGGGATCTTGGGCACACACGCACACGTGTCCGGCATGAGTTATAAGCCACCGGGTCCAGGACTCAAACGGCGGTCAACTACGTGGGAGTCCAGTGACATAGCCATTACACTAACTGCTGGTCCCACAAAAAATTTTTGGGCCTCATATTCATACTATGCTGCTGAATTCCTTTTGGGGGGAGTGTTCTTTTAAGGTGTATTGCATAGGGCACGTGCACTTGCAGGGGAGAGGCAAAGAGTGAGAAATCACACCCCCAACCCCACCACCACCACCCCCATCCAGGAGGACGGCTATGTTACAATCCTTCCTCCTCCTCCTCTCTTCTCTCAGGATTCTGGGCATGCACGCACAGGCACCCTGCTTGAGTTTCAAGTTGCCAGCTCCAAAACTCAAACCATGGTAGGTCATGTGGGAGTCCAGGAGTTTAACAGCAATGCTACCTGCTGGACCCCCTTTGAAAATTAATACTATAAAAGTCAACAGGTGACATGGTGGTTACACCTTGTATATATGTATGAGTGTATGCAAAAAGTTCATGGAGGGACCAGCAGTTGGCATAATGGCTATGTTGCTGAACTCCCATGTAGTCGACCATGGTTTGAGTCCTGGAACGCAGTGGCTTAAACTCACACTGGGTGCATGTGCATGCGTGCCCAAGATCCCAAGAGGAGAATGGAGGAGAAGGGATTGTGGCATGGC